TTGACCCCAACAGAATCGCCCTGATCGGGGGCACCTCTAACCAACAGATGGTTTTGATCCCCTATTGCGAGCACACATATAAAGGGTGGGGCCTGGATACTTATGGCACCTGAGTTCACGTACATGATATCTAGCCCCTTAATTCCCTCAAACCTACCGATCTAGGGGTGTGTTACGCAATGGGAAGGCCGTTTCCATCGCCAGCCGCCGCAAGGCTGTGCCGGCGGTTTCCTACTGCCACCGCGAAGCTCCTGGGTGAGCTGCTGCCTCTCCACGACTACATCACCTTGGCGCCACTGGTGCTGCTCATCCTCGCCACTTGAGATCATGGGCTCCGCTGTGCCTGCATCGAGCAAGCCTGTAAGATCTCACAAACCTCTTTGTTAATCATATCTTAGGTGATCTAATGCTAGGCAAATAATCCGATTACAATAAACCTAAAGATTTTTCCTAACACCCGGGGGTACCAACCCTCGTGTTTACCAGGAACAGAGGGGGGGAGACCTTGCTGATGTGGACACAGAAAATAAAGGGGCACGCAAAAGACTTGTCAGTGCAGATGGTGTTATTAATGTCAGGGGCCAGGCTATCCCGGATCTTGTGGGGAGAGTGGCTGGCACTGTGCTTCAGATCGAACACCCGGGAGTGACGGCCAACCTGCGTGAACCATCACTGTCATCTACTCCAGGAAAGGTGCCATTGGTGAAGCGCAAGAGACAAGGAGCAGGGGATGAAACTATGGAGATGGAAACAAACAATGAGGCGGACTCTTTCGAGGTGGTCCGCCAAGATCAATGAGAACTTTGTACTGGAACTATCGCGGGATTGGTGACCCCGCGACAGTTCGTGAGCTCCGGGAGCTCATCATGGAGTGTGCGCCGTCGGTGGTATGCATTTCTGAAACACAAATTTCAAAACAGAGAGTGGAGGGCCTGACGGCAACATTAGGCTTTGAAGGTGGATTTGCGGTTGGTAGTAGTGGCAGAAGTGGTGGTCTAGCTGTGTTCTGGCGGGATGGGCTGAATGTAAGGCTTAAGAATTATTCAAAATATCACATAGATATGTCTGTAAAAGAAGAGGGGAAAGAAGAGTGGAGGCTCACATGTTTCTATGGAGAAGCTAACAAGAGTTTAAGGCAAAATACATGGGATACCATGATCCGGTTGCAAGGGGAAACCACCCTCCCATGGATGTGTATTGGTGACTTTAACGAGGTATTGCAGCGAGAAGAGCAAATGGGGCCAAATGAAAGAGACGTGTCGCAGATGGGCGGGTCCAGAGAAGCCATGGATTTGTGCGGTCTAGATGATATTGGTTACATTGGGGTGGACTGGACATATGAGAAGAGAATAGCGGGGGGTCAATTCTGTCGAGTTAGGCTTGATAGAGCTTTAGCAACAGCAAGCTGGAGTGCATTATTTCCTTTCGCTACCCTTCGACATCTAGTGGCAGCAAAATCAGACCACTGTCCCATTATATTGATGAATGAGAATGAACCGGCGAATAGAAGGATTGCTTTGGACAAGCCCTGTCGCTATGAAGCTATGTGGGAGTCGCATAAGGATTATTTCCCTATGGTGGAACAGGCAGAGGGATGCTACAGGTCACAGTACTACTGTCCAGGCAATGAAGGAAAAACTGGAGAGACTTGCGGCCTCTCTGGCATCATGGGGAAGCAGCACTTTTGGACATGTGCGTAGAGAGCTACGAAATCTAAAAAAGAAACTGGGCGAGCTGAGAGCAGAACCATCACGAGAGGGCCCTTCTTGTGAGGAGAAAAAGATTGAAGAGAGAATTGTTGAGTTAAATTTTCGTGAAGAAGTTATGTGGAGGCAGCGGTCTCAGATCCAATGGCTAGCGACGGAAATACGAAGTTCTTCCATCAGAAGGCGACAAATAGAAGGAGAAAAAATTGTATTTCCCAGCTAACACGGGAAGATGGTACAATATGCCATAACGAGGGAGAGTTGGGAGGGATGGTGACTGCTTTTTATGAAAATTTGTACAGAGCAGAGGGTACTATCGGGATGGAGGAAGTCCTCTCCCACATACCTCGCAGGGTGGATGAAAGTATGAACGAAAAGCTCCTAGCAACATTCACAGCGACAGAAGTAAAAGTGGCACTCTTTCAAATGTTTCCTACAAAGGCGCCCGGGCCGGATGGCTTCCCGACGTTATTTTTTCAGAAGAATTGGGAAGTATGTGGCGAGGAGGTGACCGAGATTTTTCTTCCTGTGCTGAACGGGGAAGAATCTCCAGAGGTTATAAATAGAACGTTCATTGTTTTAATTCCTAAGGTATCTAATCCAACCTCTTTGACGCAGTATCGACCGATTAGCTTGTGTAATGTCATCTTCAAGATTATCTCGAAGGTACATGCAAACAGGTTAAAGTTGATTCTACCAGAGATTATCTCTCCTGAACAGTCGGCGTTTGTTCCTGGGAGGCTCATCACCGATAATATTATAACAGCCTACGAGTGTCTGCATTTCATGAAGAGATCTAGGAGTAAGAGAAACCCTTATTGTGCACTTAAAGTTGACATGATGAAGGCTTATGACCGGGTGGAATGGTGCTATCTTGAAGCAGTAATGATGAAATTAGGTTTCAATAATGTTTGGGTGGAAAAGATTATGCAATGTGTTAGAACAGTATCTTTCACGGTTCTGTTAAATGGGGGGAAACTAGAAGAGTTTAAACCCTCTCGTGGCATCAGGCAGGGGGGCCCAATCTCCCCCTACCCGTTTCTTATTGCAACAGAGGGTTTATCATGCTTGTTGAGGGCTCGAAGCATTGATGAGAATGTTAAGGGTGTGGTTGTGGCTCCAACAACCCCACCGGTAAATCATCTTTTGTTTGCTAACGATTGCTCTTATGTTTAAGGCTAACATTGATGTTGCCAATGTGATGAAAGACACCATTCAGAAATATTGTAATGCATCGGGACAGCGTGTCAATTTGGCCAAGTCTAGCATATATTTTGGGAAGGGATGCCCCAATGACAGAAGGAATGAGATGAAGGTGCTTTTGGACATCCCAAATGAATCACTCCCCGAGAGGTACCTTGGACTCCCAACGGATGTGGGTATGTCAAAGAATCAATCTTTCAAGTACATAAAAGATAGGTTATGGTCAAAGGTGAAGGGGTGGATTGAGCACTGTATGGCTAGAGCAGGAAAGGAAGTTTTAATTAAGTCAGTAGCACAAGCGGTGCCAACGAATGCGATGAATTGCTTCCTACTCCCAAGAGGATTATGCCAAGAAATAGACAAAATGCTTCGGAAATTTTTTTGGGGGAGCAAAGATGGACAGAGGAAGGTGGCATGTGTGTCTTGGGAAGTACTAACCATGCCTAAATATATGGGGGGGCTGGGGTTTAGGGACACCCGGCTCTTCAACCTAGCCATGCTAGCGAAGCAGGCTTGGAGATTGGTACAGTATGAATCAACCTTGAGCGCCATTATTCTGAAAGCAGTTTACTTTCCATCAACTAATATTCTGTCGGCTGAACTGGGAACACATCCTTCACAAGTATGGCGAGGTCTATGTGAGGGGATTGCGGTGCTCAAACAGGGTCTCCTCAAACGTATAGGAGATGGGCAAGGTACAAGCATATGGGATGATAACTGGCTCCCTCGGGATCATATGATGAGAGCTCTGCATCCACTAACGGCCGCCCCACCTTTGAGGGTGGCAGACCTGATTGTGGCTAGTACGAAAACCTGGAACCAAGAGCTTATACGAGAGCACATGCAGGAACCGGATGTGGATGTAGTCCTTAACATCCCTCTGAGCATGAGGAATTCGGTTGATCAGTGGGCATGTCATTATGAAAGAAGTGGAGTTTGCATAGTCCGATCAGTTTATAGGATGCTAATGGAGACAAAAATGAGGAGGGAGGACTGGTTGGAACATAGACCGGCACCCTCGAACACAGTAGCTGTAAGAAAAGAATGGACTGATATTTGGAAAATCAATGTTCCTGGTAAAATCAAGAATTTTGTGTGGAGGCTGGCGAGAAACTCGATCCCAACGGAGGACGTTCGAAGCCATAGGAGCATGGCGGAGTGTAGCATATGCCCAATATGCAAGTCAGCAAAGGATAACTGGAGGCATGCTTTAATTGAATGTAATATGGCTAAGTGTATATGGTCGCTGCTTGACGAGGATCTAGTTGAAGTCATGATCTCATGCAGGACTATGGATGCAAGGATCTGGATCATGCAAATGAAAGACTCGATGAAGGACGAAGTGTTTATCTCTCTAGTTGTGTCACTTTGGTCAGTTTGGTGGGTCGGAAGGAAGGCTATTCATGAGAATATTTTCCAATTACCTATGGCCACACTGAGCTTTGTTCAGAATTTTTAGGATCTTGCTCTTATTCCAAACAAAAAGGCAAGTGTTCTGGCACCTGTAAAAGGGATATGGAGGCGGAGGAAATGGATACCTCCGGCACTGAATTATTACAAGATCAATGTAGACGCAGCAGTTCATCGGGCCAACACAAAGGGATCCATTGCCACGATTTGCCGTGACCATCAGGGAAAATATGTTGGCGCCTCGGCGGTGTTAATGCAGGGTATGGTTGATGCAGAAATCCTTGAAGCCATGGCGGTAAGAGAGGCATGTGCCCTTGCTGCTGATCTGCAGCTCAGGAAGATTCCTGTGGTCACAGATTGCAAAGCTACTGTTATTCATCTGCAGTCAGAGCTCAGTAATCATTAAAGACATCAAAGTCTGATCTTTGTCCTTTTGAAGAGGCCAAAGTAGAGCATGAAGCGAGAGATTTAAATTTTGAAGCTCATTGCCTAGCAAAAGCTGCACTTTCTTTAGATTCAGGGCGCCACGTGTGGCTGTTGAATCCCCGGACATTGCTTGTATCCCTGTTTTTATCCCACTTTATAATATATAACAGGTGGTGCACCTAAAAAAACACCACCGGAGACACACCCGCCGCCACTCGAATTCCCCACCACCCGCTGCAGCGCCGTCGCGGCGCCATGCTCCTCCTTCGGAAGCGCGTCCGCTCTCATCTCCTCTTCGCCGCGCCCTCTCCTTCCACCTCCCCAGTCCTCTCTCTCCACCGCCTCCTCTCTGCCGCCGCGCCCGCCGTTTCCCCCAACCCTAGCTTCGTCGTGGAGGAGTACCTCGTCGGCACCTGCGGCCTGACCCGAGCCAAGGCACTCAAGGCCTCCACCAAGCTCTCCCACCTCAAATCCCCCGCCAAGCCCGACACCGTCATCGCCTTCCTTGCCGGCCTCGGCCTCTCCGGCGACGATGTCGCGGCCGTCGTCGCCAGGGACCCTCTGTTTCTCTGCGCCAAAGTGGAGAGAACCCTGTCCCCCGTCGTCGCTGGGCTCACCGGCCTCGGCCTGTCAAATGCTGAGACTGCGCGTCTCGTCTCGCTTGCCCCCGGCTCCTTCCGTAACAGATCCGTCGTCTCCAAGATAGAGTACTACCTGAAGCTCTTCGGCTCCATCGAGAACTTGCTCCGGCCCCTCAAATACGGCTCTGGCTTCCTCGACTCCGACCTCCAGAGGGTGGTCAAGCCCAAAGTCAGTATCCTAGCAGAGTGCGGGCTAGGTGCTTGTGATATTGCCAAGCTATTCATCCTTGCACCGAGGATCCTCAGCGCCAGCACAAAGCGTGTCTTGGGGATGGTCGCATGCGCCAAACGTATAGGTGTGCCCCGTGGATCCGGGATGTTCAAGCAAGCGCTGCATGCTGTCTCATACTTCAGCGAGGACAAGATCGCTGCCAAACTGGACTACTTGAAGAGAACACCTAGGTGGTCAGATACCGAGGTTGGCATTGCTGTGTCCAAGGCCCCGATTTTGCTGGCAAGATCAAATGATGTGCTGCAGCGTATGTCAGACTTCCTATTCTCTGAGGTGGGGTTGGACCCAGCCTACATTGTTCATCGCCCCGCTGTGCTCACTTACAGCCTGGATGGACGGCTCAGGCCCTGCTACTATGTTGTGAAATTTCTTAAGGAAAGTGGATTGCTAAATCATGACAGGGACTACTATAGTATGGTGATGGTCAGCGAGAAGGTATTTCTGGAGAAGTTCATATGCCCTCACAAGCAAGCTGCACCACACCTTGCTGAAGACTATGCAGCTGCTTGCACAGGGCAGGTGCCTTCTACATTCAGATTTACATGAACCAAGAAGCAGGAAAATGGATTGCTAGAGCACGAGTGGAACTACTATTCAGCAGTCTTGGTGACAAATATGATTTTCATGGAAAAGTTTGTATGCCCTCACGAGGAAGATGCCCCCACCTTGCCGAAAACTATGCTGCCACTTGTAGGGAAGTGCCTTCTGATTTCAGAATTACATGACCAATAATGGGCCAGGAGAATTTGGAACTGCATTTGGCGCAAAGAAGTTACCCTATGTGTAGTGAGCTGGTAATCTCTGTCTGTGTGCATGAGTGGATGTTGGTTGTCTGCTATAGTATGTCAAGTACATGCTAATTTAGCGTCGCTGGGCCTGAATGAAACTGATAATTTTATCATGAGCCCTTGTATGTCCATTGCATCATTTAGTACAGAAGAAAGAATTACACTGCAATTAACCTGTCCATCTTGATGTTATATTGTCATGCATACTAGAACTAAGAGAATGTGTGTTAGAGTACGTAATGGGCCTAATGGGACCATTAGTCTTTTAGGGTTAATTAGAGATAAGGGTCGCTTGCTTAGGGGTCAAGTAAGCCTTGCTTGGGAGTCAAGTAAACCTCTCTATATAAAGAAAGGAGATGTATCAATTTAATCAAGCAAGAGTTAAGAAGGAAATCTTTTCCCTCTTGCCCGGCCGTGGGCAAAAAGGCCCCCGACCGGCCCTCTCGCGCCCTCCTTCTAGCAGCGCCATGACAATTTGGTATCAGGTAGCTCAGTTCCGATCATGTTTTCGCCGCCGCCCACCCCGTCGCTTCAATGTAAATCTTCTTAATTGTGATATGAATATTCAGATCCGAAAGATTCAAGACAAAAATTCATATTGACATAAAAATAATAATACTTCAAGCACACTAATCAAAATAATTATGTCATCTCAAAATAACATGGCCAAAGAAAGTTCATCCCTACAAAATCATATAGTTAGGCTATGCTTCATCTTCGTCACACAAAGATGTTCCCAACTTCTATACCCCCGATGACAAGCCAAGCAATTGTTTCATAATTAAATAATCTCAAACTTTTTCAACCTTCACGCAATACATGAGCGTGAGCCATGGATATAGCACTATGGATGGAATAGAATATGATGATGGGGATTGTGTGGAGAAGACAAAAAAGGAGAAAGTCTCACATTGACGAGGATAATCAACGGGCTATGGAGATGCTCATCAATTGATGTCAACATGAGGAGTAGGGATTGCCATGCAACGGATGCACTAGAGCTATGAATGCTCAACAAAAGAAAACTAGTAGGTGTGCATCCAACTTGCTTGCTTATGAAGACCTAGGGCATTTGAGGAAGCCCATCGTAGGAATATACAAGCCAAGTTCTATAATGAAAAATTCCCACTAGTATGAAAAAGACAACTTATGAGACTCGCTATATGAAAAACATGGTGCTACTTTGAAGCACAATATATGAGACTCACTACATGAAGAAGGAGGTGCTACTTTGAAGCACAAAATATGAGACTCTCTACATGAAGAACATGGTGCTACTTTGAAGCACAAGTGTGGAAAAGAGATAGTAGCATTTCCTTTTCTTTTTCTTTTTTTTGGGCCTTCCTTTTTTTTGGCCTTTCTCTTTTCTTTTTTTCTTTTTATTTGGGCAATGCTCTAATAATGATGATCATCACACTTCTATTGATTACAACATGAGGATTACAACTCGAAACTAGAACAAGGTATGACTCTATATGAATGCCTCCGGCGGTGTACCGGGATGGTGCAATGAATCAAGAGTGACATGTATGAAAAATAATGCATGGTGGCTTTGCCATAAATACGATGTCAACTATATGATCATGCAATGGCAATATGACAAAAGTAATGTATATCATAATAATAATGAACGGAACGGTGGAAAGTTGCATGGCAATATAACTCGGAATGGCTATGGAAATGCCATAATAGGTAGGTATGGTGGCTGTTTTAAGAAAGATATAGGGAGGTTTATGTGTGATAGAGCGTATCGTATCACGGAGTTTGGATGCACCAGCGAAGTTTGCGCCAACTCTCAATGTGAGAAAGGGCAATGCACGGTACCGAAGAGCCTAGCAATGGCGGAAAGGTAAAAGTGTATATAATCCATGGACTCAACATTAGTCAAAAGAACTCATATACTTATTGCAAAAATTTAGAAGTCATCAAAAATCAAGTACTACACGCATGCTCCTAGGGGGATAGATTGGTAGGAAAAGGCCATCGCTCGTCCCCGACCGCCACTCATAAGGATGCACAAGCCAGGTACACTTCATGCTTCAAATTTGTTACACAACTTTAACCATACGTGCATGCTACGGGATTTACCAACTTCAACACAAGTATTTCTCAAATTCACAACTACTCAACTAGCATGACTTTGATATTATTACCTCCATATCTCAAAACAATTATCAAGCATCAAACTTATCTTAGTATTCAACGCACTCAAAAGAAAGTTTCACATATCTTGAACACCAAGTATATTAACATTAAGCAAATTACCATGCTATTAACAACTCTCAAAATAATCTAAGTGAAGCATGAGAGATCAAGTTTCTTTAAAACAAATCCACCACCATGCTCTAAAAGATCTAAGTGAAGTACTAGAGCAAAAAATTATCACGCTCAAAAAGATATAAGTGAAGCACTATGAGCAAATTATCAAGCTCAAAAAATATAAGTGAAGCACATAGAGTATTCTATCAAATTCCAAATCATGTATGGCTCTCTCAAAAGGTGTGTACAGCAAGGATGATTGTGGTAAACTAACAAGCAAAGAATCAAATAATACAAGAGCTCCAAGCAAAACACATATCATGTTGGTGAATAAAAATATAGCTCCAAGTAAACTACCGATGGAAGTGGACGAAAGAGGGGATGCCTTCCGGGGCATCCCCAAGCTTTGACTTTTTGGTGTCCTTGGATTATCTTGGGGGTGCCATGGGCAACCCCAAGCTTAGGCTCTTGCCACTCCTTGTTCCATAATCCATCAAAAGAATTCATCCAAAACTTGAAAACTTCACAACACAAAACTCAATAGAAATCTCGTGAGCTCCGTTAGAGAAAGAAAACAAAAGACTACTTTAAGGTACTGTAATGAACTCATTCTTTATTTATATTGGTGTTAAACCTACTGTATTCCAACTTCCTTATGGTTTATAAACTAATTTATTAGCCATAGATGCATTGAAATAAGCAAACAACACACGAAAAACAGAATCTGTCAAAAACAGAACAGTCTGTAGCAATCTGTAACTAACGCAAACTTATGGAACTCTAAAAATTCCAACCAAAATAGTACGCACTAGACAATTTGTTTATTGAACATAAGCAAAAAGAATCAATGCAAAAGCTCGTTCCTGTGATTTATTTTTTTTTTCTTGTGAGCGCAAAGTTTCTGTTTTTCAGCAGAATCAAATCAACTATCATCATAGCTTATCCTATAGGTTCTACTTGGCACAAACACTAATTAAAACAGAAAACACGTCTAAACAGAAAGTAGAAACAAAATTTAGCACTAAACAGGAACAAAAACAAAGAACACAAAATAAAATTGGGTTGCCTCCCGACAAGCGCTATCGTTTAACGCCCCTAGCTAGGCATAAAAGCGAAGATAGATCTAAGTATTGCCGTCTTTGGTAGGCAATCCATAAGTAGCTCTCATGATAGATTCATATGGTAGTTTTATTTTCTTTCTAGGGAAGTGTTCCATACCCTTTCTCAAGGGAAATTGGAATCTAATATTCCCTTCCTTCATGTCAATAATCGCACCAATCGTTCTAAGGAAAGGTCTACCAAGAATAATAGGACATGAAGGATTGCAATTTATGTCAAGAACGATAAAATCTACGGGCACATAATTCCTATTTGCAACAATAATAACATCATTAATTCTTCCCATAGGCTTTTTAATAGTGGAATCCGCAAGATGCAAGTTTATAGAGCAATTATCAAAATCACGGAAATCTAGCAAATCACACAAATTTTGGGAATAGTAGAGACACTAGCACCCAAATCACACAAAGCATGAAACTCATAATCTTTAATTTTAATTTTGATAGTAGGTTCCCACTCATCATAGAGTTTTCTAGGGATAGAAACTTTCAACTCAAGTTTTTCTTTATAAGATTGCATCAAGGCATCAACAATGTGTTCAGTAAAGGCCTTATTTTGACTATAAGCATGAGAAGAATCTAGCACGGATTGCAACAAGGAAATACAACCAATCAAAGAGCAATTTTCATAATTAAATTCCTTGAGATCCAAAATAGTGAGTTTAGCAACATCAAGATTTTTATTTCTTTCAATCCCACTTTCATCAATTTCATCATCAAGATCTAGAAACTCAGAATTCTTAGGACGCCTTCTAGGTAAAGGAAGATCATATTCAGTTTCATCAAGATTCATATTGCAAAACAAAGATTTAATAGGGAACGTATTAATAACTTTTAGATCTTCATCTTGATTTTCATAGGAATTAGAAGAACACGCTTTAATAAAGGCATCTTTGGAAGCACGCATCCTAGCGGTTCTTTCTTTGTACTCATCAATGAAAATTCTTATAGCTTTGAGAGACTCATTGATATCATGCTTAGGAGGAATAGATCTAAGATTTAAAGAATCAACATCAAGAGAAATTCTATCAACGTTCCTAGCCAAATCATCAACTTTAAGTAATTTCTCTTCAAGCAAAGAATTAAAATTCTTTTGTGAATTCATAAACTCTCTAACACTACTCTCAAATTCAGAGGGCATCTTATTAAAATTTCCATAAGAGTTGTTGTAGGAATTTCCATAATTATTAGAAGGATTGCTAGGATAAGGCCTAGGATTAAAATTCCCTCTATACGCATTGTTTCCAAAACTATTCCTACCAACAAAATTCACATCCATAGATTCATTATTATTCTCAATCAAGGTAGATAAAGGCATATTATTGGGATCAGAAGAAACACTCTTAGCAAATAAATTCATAAGTTCATCCATCTTTCCACT